TGGGTGTTGGGAACCGAACCTGGGTCCTCTGCAAGAGAAGTTAGTGCTCTTAACTGCTGAGCCATCTCTCCAGCTCCACAGCCCCATTATTTTATTACCTGATTATATTGTTACAAGAATGAGCCTAGGGAGTGTGAACTGCCTTTCACAAACCCTGTACTTCCATTTAGCTTAGATTTCTGGCTTCTCAGACTTTATTGTAGAAACATTTTTAGAACTTTCATTAGGGAAATTTCATATGTAGATATGTATGTATACAAAAATAGAAATAATAGCGTAATAAATTTCCATGCTTTCTTAGAGCTTAACCAGCCATCAGGCTTGGACATAGCACTGAAGGAGAATAGGAGACAGTTCTGAATTAGGCAGATAGTCAGGTGAGGAGCCCCAGACTAGATTCAGCTGTGTTCCAGTTACTCTCACTTGTATTCAAAATAGCTTACTTCTGGGCTCTTATCCAAATTTGGTCCTTTCCTTGGTTAATCTGCACTCGCCACAGACTGGCTTCCTCTTGTTGGAATTTCAATTCACCTGCCCTTGCTCTACCCAGTCAAATTCCTGCTTTCATATGAATGAACCAGCCAACATGTACCCTATCCTGTCCAATCCAAATGGGGAAAGGGGAGCCCAGTCCTGTCCCACCCCCATATATTCTATATAAAAGCTCAGACTCTCCAGGGGGCAGATGGTACTCCAGCTCTGGACCCCTCCCCAGGAAGGTATCTGTCTCTTTGCTGGGTGGAGTGTTGCTTATGCTTCAATAAACTGGCTGTGTGCTGTGACTGGCAACTTCTTCTGTAGGTCTTTACCTGGCAAAGAAGAGGACCGAAGAACAGACTTCCATATGATTATTCTATATTTCTTCTACTCCTCTAATTAGATTTCATGAAACTATTAAATATTGAATTCATATTTATGTAGGTGTTGTATCAATATTCTGCTTTCCAGTTCTATACACTGTAACTCTTTAGTACCTTTTTGAATCTATATGTTTCAATCTCATTTTTTTTTTGTTACTGTTGCTGTCAGTTTGAGTTATCTACAGTCCCATGCTCTGCCTTCCCATGGTATCATTTAACACATTTCTCAGCTCTTTGTGGTTCTTTAAATTGGTAGTAAGATTTCATGGCTTGGTCAGTAGGCAGCTTGATTGCTTTGGCAAGGCTACTACTTCTAAGACCATGGAAACATGAATGCCTTCTTACGAATTTTCAGATAGCTCTGATTTCTGTGTGGAAGTACTGATTTATTTTGGCACTGAAAATGTCAATATATTAAAGAAATTAAATATATTTTTTAATATTAGAGGAGTTATTGCAGATGTCAGTGCCATCCAAAACAACAAAAAGGCACATCATTTTGACTGCAAAGTAAGAATGAAAATTGGCATTATTTTCAAATTGACTGACCTGTCTGCTTTCTGGCAAGGTGGATCATGGTGCTCAGAATAGAATGAGGTAACACAGGATGCCTGCACAAAGGCAGAGTTGGGAAGCTGATGATAGAGACTCAGGGCTTTGTGATATTCCAGGGTGTTATATAATAGACTTCGTGGGGAGAATGACACACATATGTCTACTCACCCCAGACAGGAAACCCCTGACAGACCAAATAAACCAATGTCCAACTTGATGAATCAATGTGATTTTATTGGGGTTCTTAATAGGAGTGTGGGTGACGGGTTACCTACAGGAGCAGTGATGACTCAAAAGCAGTTGTATCAACAAAAAGTCTACCCCCAGATGTGTGACAGTTCTTAGACAGTCCATCCCTGGAGCTCTTTGTACAACTTGCTAGCAGGAGCTCTCCTTCAGGCAGCTCAGCTGGTCAGCATCTCTTTTTCCAGCAGTTTTCTGCTTTCATTACCCTGGGGAGAGGGTTCTGCTGACTCTTGCAACTTACAGCTTTCTCAGACATGTGACATTTGTCTATCTCCTGAGCCTCCGAGGGAATGTTTCAATTCTGGAGCAAATTGCCATACAATAATAGGTGATTTTGCAGAGCTACTCAAACTGAATTCAGAGCCACAGACCAGTGAGGACCAGAGGTGGTAGTCAGCAGCTAGGGGCATGAGGTGGAGGAGGCCAGTGAGAAGAGGTCACGATGTACCCAGCAGTGTTTGATTCCCAGGAGGCTGAGTGGTACTTGGAAAAGTGGATGAAACACAGAAATAACTTTTACTAATGATCTATCATCATGATAGAAAAATTACATACTAAGTATAGCATTTCATGTAGCCTGCAATAAAAATCACATATACAACAATATTTTATGCTCACTTAAAATTTTGTGTGCATACACTTGAATGTAAGTATGGGAGCAACAAGCTTTATTATTTTTCTTTTCATTTAGGATTTCATCAGGATGGTGGGTCTTCTTTACACCAGGTCTTCTTCCCAGTTCTTTTCTGTGTCATTTTGGGCAGCCTTCCATTTGGCTGAGCAGCCCCAAGCAGCAGCAGAGACAAGGCCGGCTCTGCAGCTCTCTGTGGGGGTCAGTTTTTATCTGAGCCCAGCCAGTCACTGTTCAGCAGAAAGCGTTACTTTGGGGTGGGGTGTGCTACCCTGTGCTTCTCAAGCAACTACCCATGGGGCTGAGATCCTAGATTTTTCTGTTGTCTGAATCTACAGACAGGTGGGTTTGGGTCCTTATGAGGAACCTGAATTGTAATCTCCCAACCCTTGGTCTCTGAAAACTCCTTCCATCCTGACCCTGAGGTCAGGGCTGTTCATCACTGGGCATTTTCTCCACTGCCTAGTGGATCTGTCCTTAGTGAAAATGTAGCTCTCCCTAATCGAGGACCCTACCCTTTGTACCTGATTTGAACGGTGTATGGAGCTGCTTCCTGAAAGAAGGTCTAGTAAGAGGGCCAAATAAGAAAGCTTATAGGGTTGCAGAAAAGAGCTTCTAGAGGTATAAGCAAAGCAGTTTTGAGAGCTCTGATGACAAACATCAAAACCTCCTTACCTGTCTGTATTCTGAAGGCCCAGGATGAATTACAGAAACTCTTCTTGAGGTTTATCACAGTCTGCTAGTATCACACTTCGCTTTTTCTCTCTATTGTCCATCATTTCTTTTCTAGCAATCCCCCATTTTAATTTTAATTTCCCTTCTCTCTTTTCTATGTTTTGATGCTCTGCTTCTCTTCCTCCTCTTCCTCTTCCTCCCACTCTTCATTCTTCTCATCTATCTGATTATTATTATCATTATCATTATTTGTTTTTTCTTTTTGAGACAGTGTCTATATAGCCCCAACTGGCCTGAAACTTGCTATGTAGACCAGGCTGGACTCGATCTCACAGAGATCTGTCTACCTCCGCTTCCCAAGTGCTGAGATTAAAGGTGTGTGCCACCAAGCTGGGCTGATTTTCTTACTATTTTTCTACTTTGTATGCATTTTGCTCCTTCCTTCTTTCCTTCTGTTGTGTTGGTTTGTCACATAGAGATGAAACATTTTCATATGCCTGTTATGTGGGTAAAGTGATACCTCTGCCGAGCAGTTGCATGGTTACACACTAGGGTGCTGTGGCTTTTCTGTATAGGAGAGTTTCACACCAGAAGCCACTTGTTGCAGCTAGCTTTCAGGGGGAGATAAAACTATTGTAGACATAAAATCCTAATCTGATATGACCAGCAGTTTTTTTACCATACTTTAGACTTCTACTGTTCTTCACATGTACCATTTCATTTCCCTTCTTTCTTTTCCCTATTGATTGATTGATTGATAGTTGTTGTAGCCCAAACATTGGTTCTTTGCCACCTCTGAGGACCACTGTAACACAGATGAATAGATGCTCTTCTGCTTTTTGCATCTCTCTGTGAGCTCTGTGGCATCATCTCTGCTCAGCTTCCTTCTCTCCTTAGAGAGTAGATCAGGGTCCTTGGTTGGCAGCAGTAAAGTTTCAGATGAAGGAAGCGGATGCTTAGTCCACCTGTTACTACTCTGGGCTATTCTTGAGAGACAATTCATGAGGTTTATTCTCTATATTAAGTTCACAAATTTTTGGGTCTCAGGACCAAAAGCTCATGTTTATATAGGTTGTATCTATCATATTTAAGCTGTTAGAGATTAACACTGAACACAGTTTTAAACACAAGACTCTTTGAGCACTCATTCCACAAGCCTTCAGGGCCTCTGGATGTATCTGCTCTTACATCCATAAAGATCAGGGGTGGAGACCAAGTATAGCCTCCTATTGCTTTGAAAATAGGTCAGACCTAGCACGTCTCCAAAAGGCATGCAAGGATTCCCAGAACATGCTTATTATAAGACATGTTGATCAAGATATAGCTATTACTTGTGCTAGAAACTCTAGAAATAGTATTCTGAAGGTAGGAGTTTGGATGAATTTTTTTTAGCACTAGGAATTTGTACTACATGTGAATTTCCACCTGTACACAAGATAGTTCTGCAATCTGTGTGTAGTCAATGAAAATCATGTAGTATCTTTTTGTGGATGTTAATATCTCAATCTATCATCTGACACTATAATCTGGATATTTGAGTCACTAGTTCAGAGCAATCTTGTGAGTTTCAGACTCTCGATATGATCACTGCTAAGAAAGTACCAAGTTGAAGATACATTTCTCATCTGGTTAACCAAGTAACTCTTAAAGGTTATGATTGAACCATCATATCCTCTTTTCTGTCTACTAGACTTTAAACATGTCCTCTGGGGTCCAGAGAGATGGCTCAGTAGTTAAGAGCACTGGCTGCTCTTACAGAGGACCAGGGTTTGATTTCCAGCTTGGGAATCACAAGACACGGGAGCATTTACATACATTCAGGCAATACACTCATCCACATAAAATAAAAATAATAAGATATTCTTTAAAAAATGCCCCTTGTCTTTCAAACTTTGTAAAGTTTCCATTTATACTTGGTGCAACTACATTAAGTAATACCACCAATCATTTTAGTGGAAATTCCAGGGTGCTTTTACATGTCTGTGCCCAAACATTTGACCAACTGCCTAATCATCTGCTAATCTTCTTTTCAGATAGTTTTGAGACAGCTACACCTTCGAATAGCCACATCATCACAGAACCTGGACAAAATGTCACACTCACCTACCAGCTTCAAAGCAACTGGCCAGTTGAGCAAGTCACTTGGGAAAAGGTCCAGCCTCATCAGATAGATATCTTAGCTTTCTGTAACCTGTCCCAAGGAAGAAGTTACAGCTCAAAATACTTGAGACATACATGGAGCAACTGTAGCCAGGGAGGCACGAAGAGTTTCCTTGTCATCCCCAATGCCATCATCGCTGACTTGGGTCTTTACCGCTGCCACTTCAAGGCCAGCACAGGAGAAAAAGAAACCTTTGTTATAAGGCTGATGGTAACTGAAGGTGAGTGACAGCAGGTGTTCCCAGCGTTGAAATGGAAAATCCAGCCTCTGTGGATCGACTTCCATTGTTCTTTTTATCTGCAGCACATGTGCTCATTTAATACGTCTCAGTTGTACAATAGTATTTTTACTGGTTGAATTTAGATATGTTGACCATTATTAAATGTTAGGATTCAGCATTTATTTTGGTAACCCATCAATCACAGATTTGGCAATAGAAATATTTTATTTAAATTTGTTTTCATTTAATTTTGGTGTATTTCGTACAGAACATCTCAATCAATCTTAATCATCTTTATAGCCCTGTCCCCACTGGCACCCTCCCATAGCCCCCCCCCCTGCAATTCATACATTCTTTCATTTGAGTTAAGGCCTATTGTGTCAAGATATTGTCCCCAATGTTCCTCAGTGCAGGGTCATCTACTGAGGTCTAGTCAGCTTATCTAGAGTCCCTCGCTTTAGGAAGATCAGCTCTTCCTCACCCAGCAGTAATCAGTTGCCAATACTTCTTCAGCTAAGATTGGGGTCTGCTGTTCATTTCCCCAGTTATGTGCTGGGTTTTTGTCTGCTTGAGTTTGCATGGAACTTGTAAATGCTGACACCATTGCTGTAGATTCATATGAACAGGATTCCAGGAGCCTGTAGGACTACATTTCCATATGCTTGTGCACCTCCTCCCTGGCTCTTACAATCTTTTTGCTCCCTTTTCTGCAATGCTCCCAGAACCCTGGGTGGTTGAAGTTTAATATAGGAGTCCTGTCCAAGAACCATCATTCTGTAGACTCTTAATCTCTACATTTGGCCATTTGTGACCTTTTGTGTTCCTGACCCTCTGTTGCATGACAAAGCATGATTAATGAGAACTGAGAGATTCCTAAGTGTTCTCTTTATGTCTGTTCTATGTTCTGTGAGCCTTAGGTGTAGAGGTTACATTCTATGTGTATCATTTAGGCCTGGGCAATTCATAGACAATGTTTGTGTGTGACCAGTTGTGGTATTTGGTAATAGTCTTTGTCTGGTATTAAAGAAGCTTCTTTGATAAGAAGTAACGAGATATTTGTCTGTAAATATAAGGATTCATATTTTGCACATAGTAAGAAATTACATTAGTCTAGGGATGTGACAGTCTTAGAGTTTTCTCTAAGATCTATGACTTCAGCAATGTGTGTTTGGTTATGTTTACAGTACCACACGAGTTTCCTCCTGTTGAGTGGGCTTTTAGTCCAATTAGGTAGCTGTTGATTGTCCCCAAGATAAAATTGCCACTACTGCACCAATGTCGCATGCTGTGCCAGCCATTGATGTGGTTATTTGGTTTTGAAGGCAGTGTTGTACCATCAATTGGTGTTTTCCCTTGGCACTTTCATAGTGCTCTCCAAAGCTATGAGAGCTAGCCTGCAGGGGACGTGACTTCCAGGTCAGGTCCAGGTCTACTGTTCAAATCCTGTGTCAGAAGTATGTTCTGCCTGAAGCAGTAGGGTCTTACCTTCAAGTTCTGGGAGGCAATATAGGATGGTGGCGATAGCCTGTGTAGTTTTGGAAGTTTCTTGGACAACGATGGCCAACAACTCAAAAGAAGGTTTCTCCTGTCTGGCACTGTCTTGTTATGTAACTTTTATCTATACACATGGACTCATGTAGAGATAGTGCATGTGTAATTTATCATTAAGTCGTTGGATTAATATGATTCCTTCTGGTTTTTAAAAACTACCTAGGCACTATTTATCTCTCCTTTGTCTCTCCCTGTCTAACCCATCCACCATGACTTTCCCATTTAAAGTATCTCCATTTTCCTCATTCTCCCTTGATAATATCAGTCTCCAAATCCTTATATGTGAGTATGTATCCAGATATAACTGCAGGAACCAGGATAATGAAAAGGAACTAGGGAGGTAAAGGGAAAGAACCTGACAGAGAACAGCCAGGAGGCAGGGAGAAATGGATAAAAATGGGGGTATTTAAATGGGAGGGGAAGGGAAGGTTATACAAGGAACCTTGGGCATAAAGTGAAAGAAGGAACTCAAGAGAGGTGGGACAATAGGAGACTGGTATTATCAAGGGAGAAATGGGGAAAATGGTGAAAGGGTTAGACAGGG